CTTCAGAAAAAATTCAAATACAGAATATAAAAGTTGAAATATTATGATAGTTCTTGTGTTTGTTTTTACATTGACATGACTTTATCGATGCAACATATTATCCCTTTGAAATGCTTAAATTTATGGCCATTGAGAAAACAGAAAAAACTCAAAAAGTTCCACGTATTTAGCAACATTTTGAGTAAAAATCACATAAGCTAATTTTTATAGGCTGCTGTTAAAGGAGATTGGGTGTGTGTAGCAATGTATTTATGGTGATTTCAAGAAAAATTGGTGTCTCATGCAGATCTTTCCTCTTCTGTTCTAATTTTTCTTCCTATTTTTTAAAATAGAAATCCACTATGAGAAACCATACAACAGTAGCAAACTTTATTCTTCTTGGACTGACAGATGATCCACAATTACAGGTGATTATTTTTCTTCTCCTTTTTTTCACCTACATGTTGAGCGTCACTGGGAATCTAACCATCATCACCCTCACTCTACTGGATTTGCATCTCAAGACACCCATGTATTTCTTCCTCCGAAATTTCTCATTTTTAGAAGTCTCGTTCACAACTGTCTGTATTCCCAAATTTCTTGTTAGTATGGCAACAGGTGATAAGACCATTTCTTACAACGATTGTGCAGCACAACTGTTTTTCACTATTCTCTTTGGGGCAACTGAATTTTTTCTTCTGGCTGCCATGTCCTTTGACCGCTATGTGGCCATCTGCAAACCCCTGCATTACACCACCATCATGAGCAGCAGAGTTTGCAACTTGCTAGTCTTTGCTTCATGGATGGCTGGCTTCCTAATAATTTTTCCACCACTCCTGATGGGTCTCCAGCTTGATTTCTGCGCAGCCAACACTGTAGATCATTTCTTCTGTGATGTTTCTCCTGTACTGCAGCTCTCTTGCACAGACACCAACGTAATAGAATTAATGATGCTTCTCTCAGCCATTTTGACGCTCCTGGTTACACTGGTATTAGTGATTCTCTCCTACACAAATATTTTCAGGACTGTTCTGAAAATACCTTCTTCTCAACAGAGAAAAAAAGCATTTTCTACATGTTCTTCTCACATGGTGGTCGTGTCCATTT